TGCTGCTGCAGGTGAAAGTGCCGAAAGTGTTCGCACATGGGAGCTTGGGGGATCCCGATATTCTGTCGCTAGATTGGCCCGGCTGCCCCTGAGAGCGGCGTGGCGAGGCGACGATGCCCAGATCTCTGTCGCGGGACCACCGACTAGTACAAACAGTTGAGGATGCGGAAGCGTGCGTGGCATGTTTGTAAGGTTAAGGCCCTGTTTGGTTTCAAATAAGTCACCAACTTATAAGTCGAAAAGTGCAAAAAGTGACTTATTTTGTCAAACGGATCCAACTTATAAGTCACCCTAACTTATAAGTCATAAGTTGCTCCACTCCAACTTAAAACTTATAAGTCACCCCTTTTGCATGGGTCCCACCACCTTTACATAAAAAAACAAGGTAGAAAGGTGTGGTCAGATGACTTATTGGTGGTAATTAAACCGGCGTGACTTATAAGTTACTGATTTTAAGTCACCTGACTTATAAGTCAGGTGACTTACTGAAATTAAATAGACCCTAAATACTATTAAAACGTCGCAGTCCGGAGCCAGAAAAATCGAGGATCCATCTATGTGTGTACAACGAGCTTTGGCATGTGCCTCTGTGGCATCGCTGTCCTTATCTGGTTCTCCTGTAGACAAATGAAGGAACGGGGGACGACGTGACGGTGTCTTTAGGGAGGAAAGGTATTTTATCTGCGGTGCATCAGTGCGGGTGCTGTGTGTCTCCTAGTCGATGACACGTCCGCTGCCTAAAGTCCCCATGTGCCGCCAATCGTGTGCGGCCGAACCGCGGATTGCTCGCGGACAAGTCCACGCTCGCGAGTCGGGAGTTGACAGTTGACACGGGCTCGGGCTGGACCGGCCGGGCGGCACCAAACCAGGCCAGCGCCCCGCCCGCGCACGCTCGGCAGGGCCGCCGGGGTGGTCCGCCGTTGGTTCACCCTCATACGCTGCTGCTCGCCAGTTCCCGATGGAGCGAGCGTCGCACGCTGCCGCGCGCCTGCCCGTGCTCTGGCAAGGGGCAGCGTCTGTCTGTCTGTCTGTAGGCGCGATCTCGGTAGATCTCGATCCTGACACCACGTCCAGGTCGGAGGATCGCTTTGCTTCGTGTCTCCTCCTTCCGCGGCTACACCTGCCCCTGGCTCGCACGCCTGCATGTCCACTGACGGGTCAGTCGCCATGCAACACTGTCGGTCGGTCAGACCTCTCCTCGTCTTCGGCCGCGCTGCCGCTGCATTTGAGGAGGACCACGCCAGGACTCGAGTGCCTGCATCCAACAACGCCGGGCCGGATCGGATCGGATCGCCTGGCTAGCGAGGCACTCGAACCGCCCTTGGAAGTCGAGCCCTTGCCTCTCGCCATCGCCGTCGTCATTGCTTCAGGACTAAGGAAGTCGTGGTGGTCGTCGTCGTCCAGGGTATTGTAGTCCTACTAGGACAAGGTCATGGTCATCGGCCGACGGGGCATAGGCCAAAGGGCAAAGGAGCACCGAGTAAAGGCAGGAGGGCAGCACAAGTACGACCTCGCCGGTTGCCATGGTGCGGCCCTACCTGCTCCGTCGTTGCACCTCCTTTCAATTCTTTGGGCACCATTTCATTATTCGTCGCCTGGTCGGTGGCCATTTGTTTATCCAAGCCTAACTGTCTGCAGTATTATTCCCCTCGATCTGATCTAATCCAATCCTAGAGGCTAGAGAGTAGAGTAATCCAGCGGCTCCAGTCGCTGCCGTCCGGGGCGAGCCAACCGAACCTATGAGGACACTGTGTGTGATGCCACCCACATCCACACGCACGCACAGAGAAGGGAAGAGGGCGGTGATGAGAGTGATGTCCGAGCCCGAACCACCACCGGTGGCTGCAAAAGGCCATCGACTGACCCGTCTCGGCCTTTTTTTATACGAGCTGCTTGCTTTGTGGCGTTGGTGCATGGCATATACGGTAACTCCACTTGTGTTAGGTACTACCGGGTACTAGTACTGCTGCTCGAGTTTAGGTCGAGAAGAGGTGCGCACAACGCAAGTGGAGCAGTAGTGCACAATACGAACCCCCACGCTTCCCACCTCCGCCCGGGTCGACCGCGACGTCGCCGTACGTCCAAAGACAGCGACGAGACGGAACCAAATATACGTCGAAAATGAAAGAACCGGAGCCAAACCCATAGCTGCAGTCTGCAGACATGATGCCGAGTGACACATAAACTAGGGGCAGTTGGAAGTCTAATCAGCAACATCTCACGTCTCGTGGCAGGCCCCCCCACCGGCCCTGGGCCCCACGGCGCGGAACGCCGACTTTCTCGGAGCATGACTTTTCCCTTCTTTTCGGTAGTTTTTTCCAGCTTGCCACCATGTTCTTAGAATAGAAAAGAAAAAGAGCTCTGTCTGTTTATCATTCACGCATCGCATGTAACCACGTGTTTGCTCAGTTGCTCTTCCTATCGGAATGAAAATGTGATCGCTCAGTTCTGCCAAGTATGAATCCGGAGCACTAGAGGTTGAGCGCTGCTCTTCTTTGAATTGGCCGGCTGACGAGGGGTCTTATGTGTCAAAATTTGTCCGAGGCGAGGCGAGGCGAGATGGGCATAGATGAGATCCAGAGTCGGCAAGGTTGAACAGGTCGATGGCAACAGCAGCCCGCATTTGACCTGACAACCAGCATAACCGGTGCCCCCCCATGTCTAAGGAATCACACATTGACTAATCACCAGGAGCAATAGAGTAATGCCCATCAATTTGGAGGCCTGTCAGCAGCAGCAACCATTTTTTTAACCACGAACTGTGCCTAGGGAGGTGTTTAAGAAAATAAATCGGGGTTTTCTAAAGCATCAGTATCTATTTATAAAGAAACAACGCGTAATTAAGCGTCTACCCTGTATAAATAAATATTGGTGCTTGAGAAAAGCCTGATTTATTTCTCTAAGCATCTTTCTTAAGCACCTTGCATTGTACAAGGCCTTACAGCAGGGATGGAGCTGCCTTGTAAGGATTGGGGTCAATTGACCCCAATGTAATCAACAAATCCTTCAAAAACTAGGTACTAATCACTATTCATTAATAGAAGATGACCCCACATGACCTTATTGAATTTTTTTCTAGCTTCGACCCTGCCTTACGGTGGTACTTTTTCTTAGCTGTATACTTAATTGAACGAGGAACATCCTAGTCTCCCCGCCAAAAAAATCAACGTCTTAGTTTTAGATGAATATAAATTACCATTGTGCAGAGGCGAGTAAAATACCGGCTTGTTCTTTGATGCATACGGTCGTATCGTTTATTCCCAGTTGACATACCACTAGAAATGTTCCTTATGGGGAGGTCATACTTCGTAGGCATGATTTTTTTTTAGAAAAGTAAACTCTACTTCAATATCATACTCCTACTTGCAAGTATTCCATTTAAGAAATTGTCACCAACATAGGAGTGCAGCGATTCGGTGCCCAAGCTCATCTGCACCCAGTCCGAAACAAATTCAAAAACAATACCAGAAAAATTCAAAAAATTCCAAACTTTTTTCCCATGATAGACAATTTATTAGGTGTGGTTCACTTCAAATTTTAGCTTATTTGGACATCTGAGTAGTTCTCAGTAAAAAAGACAAATTGAGTCAAAACAGTACATGAACAGTAAACTGTTTTACAGATCCTGAATTTTTCTTTTTTGCCAAGAGTTGCTCAGTTGTACAAATGATTTGAAAAATAGGGCGGACCTCGCGCATCAAATTTTCTATCATGTGAAAAAAATTGGATTTTTTTGAATTTTTGTAGTATTTGTTTTGAATATTTTATTCAACACAGGAGCAGATGAGCCCGAGCTCAGAAAAGGATTTCTCCCAACATAGTACCTTGTTTACCAAACTTACTGGTACATTGTACCTCATTTATTGCATCAATTTTTTCTTTGAGTAAAACACAATGTAGCTATTAGCTAACTTTTTCTGCAAAAAATATCAAATGCCATATATTAAGTAGCACAAACACTTAGAAAAAAGGGACTTCTATTTTCATGCCCTTCCTTCCTTAGTTCTTCTCAGTTATGCCCTGCTCATCTAACCTCGCTCACTTATACCCTCCTCTACTCCCCTCCGCCTCACAAAAGGCCAGACCGTGCCTTGCCGTCGGTCAAAGCCGTTGACCGTTACTTCGTCCGGTACTGACGTGTGGGATCGACTTGTATAGCCGCATGCATTTGCATCACCGGCTCTTTCCCGCACACAATCGCGGGGGACCCATCATTTCACCGCATGTGTTACTGATTTCGCGTTGCCGGCTGATTCCTACATAGTCTGCGATTGACGCGTGGGACCCATCGGTATGCAAAACTGAATTATCATCGCCTGCTATTTCCACATAGCAACTGCTCGCGTTTTCTCACATAGGGAGTCGCTTCGCCAACGCCCATTAATGGTGGCTTAATGGCGCAACCCACCGCTGCCATCCTGTGCCATATATGCAGCCTCCCATCCCATTTCGCGGCTCGCCTCCACAACCCTATCCGCCACCGGCGCCACTGTAGTACAAATCCTCACCCAGGACTGCATCGCTTGGATCCAGCACTTTGACGGCCCAACCTGCTGATGCGTAGCAACATCGCCGAGTGATGTTCCCTCTGGGATGGCCTTATATTAGCTTCAAGGACGTCATTGTTGCGTGCTGCTCGCAGGTTGACGAGAAAGATTAGATTCAGATTTGGGAATAGGGCCGCGCGGCTAAATTGTCGTGTTATTCGAATAAATTATGATTTGCATAAATGTTGTATGCTATAATTGGAGTGTATTTTGAGTTGTTTGCGTGCACATGGAATGAATCATAATTTCTATGAATTTCGTTTAAATATGTGTACGAATCAGAAAATGGGTGCCCAAGATGACTTTTTTTTGTGAAGCAAGCGCTTTACATCAAGTAGGCCCACATAGAATATATTTCATTGATTTATTTAATTTCTAGCGATTTACATCAAGTAATTCAAATTTGAACTATAAGTTTGCTCTAGTTTGGTCCTATAAAATCTGGAAAATAATTTTAGCTTGCAACTTAGGAATGTAGGCAGTATGCACAAAGAAAGGTCAAATTACTAACAACTTTATATGATTAGTCATCCAAGCAATTTTGACAACAATCTGAAAGAAATTATAGAAAAGTAAAAAAAACCTCAAAAATTGAAATCCTTTTTGCATGGCTACTGAAATCAGCTTCTTTGCCGTCCGCCATGGCGGACGGCAAAGGCATGGATCACGGACGGCAAACGTCTTTGCCGTCCGCCAGCAGACGGCAAACTATCCGTCTGAACACGTACCAGCAAAGGCCTTCTTTGTCGTCCGCTTCCTGGAAACGGATGACAAAGGATTTTTCCGTCCGCCATCCGAGGCGAGCAGACGGCAAAGACAACGGACGACAGTGTGGTGGCATGAGTGCCGTTAGGGGGTTAACGACGCTCTTTGCCGTATGCCAGCGGACGACAAAGAGCTCAGCTAGGTAGTACTGGGAAGCTGCTACATGGCCAGCTATGCCGTCTGCCAGCGGACGGCAAAGTGATTTGATTCTTTACCGTGTGCCAGCAGACGGTAAAGTGACCAAATAGGCAGCCAGTGTTTCCCAGGTTTTACAGGTAGCTGCCACGTGTCCTCTTTGCCGTCCGCTAGCAGACGGCAAAGAGCTTCGCCGTCCGCTAGCAGACGACAAAGAGGCTACATATTCCATGTTTTTATTTGAATCCATTTAATTTCACAGGAATTCACACACACATATATATGTATTTTCACATGCACAACAGATATATGATGTATCCAACACATAGCTCCATCCATGACAACATACATACATACATAATAAGAAACAGAGTTCCATCCATACATATTACAGTAACATCACAATGTTCATCCAACGCATTGTTCCATGCATGCATCCATATAACAAAGTTCCACATTTTTTATCGATACAAATGAAAAAAAGAAAAGGGAAACAAGCACTTCATCCATGCAAGCTTCCATATAGTGAATTAAATCTGCAAAATGGGAAACAAGAAAGTTAGAAGAAGAAGACTAGAATCAGAATAAGAAGAAAATGAAGAAGAAGAAGAAGTAAGCATACTTAGGTAAAATGGAGCTAACCTAGCTAATTGTGCCATTTTTTTTGGTGAACTAAGCATATTATGCCATTTTTGATATAACTTAGAGCTAACTTCATTTTGGAGAAGAAGAAGAAAACTAGAAGAAGAAGAAGAAAACTAGAAGAAGAAGAAGACTAGAAGAAGAACTTCTTCTTCTTCTTCTTCTTCTTCTTTTCTTCCTATCCCTTCTTTTCTTCCTCTTCCTGGATTTTCTTCATCTTATTATGTCATTTGTGGACTAAATAGGCTAAATTATGTCATAAATGGACTAAATAGGCTAAATAAGAAGAAAAATGCCATTTTTGAGCTTACCTACCTAATTATGCCATTTTTGACCTAACTAAGCATATTATGAGATATAACTTAGAGCTTACTTCATTTTGGAGAAGAAGAAGAAAACTAGAAGAAGAAGAAGAAGAAGTTCTTCTGAACTTCTTCTTCTTCTTCTTCTTCTTCTTCTTCTTCTTCTTCTTCTTTTCTTCCTATTCCTTCTTTCCTTCTTCTTCCTTGATTTTCTTCATC